CTGTCTTGTTGTGCGTTTGTGTGAGTGCACCTTTTAGTCTAACTTTTGTAACGTCTACTGCCATTGTTAACGACCAAGACAAATTTCTCCCTACGAGATGAATAAAGATTGTCATTGTCATTGTCATTGTCAAAGCAAACCAGAAGGCCTTACATTATTGTTCATGCGTAGCTGCAAATTAACCAATTCCAAACATGTAGTCCTATTATATTTTTTTCTGTCAGTCATGCACCAGCTTCTACTTTTACTTTCTGTAGTACTAGTACTTTATTTTCTTGTGTCTTAATTTGATATAACACACTGAATGAAGTCCAGTATTTTCTTTTTATTAACACTGCCTTCCATGCAAGAGCAAAGCAATTATACGTGCGTAACTGCACATTTCCTGGTTTTGAGGTAAGTGCAAAGGAAAAACTTTAGACGCTTACCCTGTCTAATGCTACGATTGCTTCTTGAGCAGAAATAATGTATAGATAAGAGATGGTTTACTGTAAACTCTCTGGTATAGATACATTATTCTACCGCACAGAATACTTCTACTTCTAAGTGTAGAATTCTGTGTTCTACCGTCGACAATAATGGAATTGAAATCAGTCACATATAATGAGCAGTTTCGAACCACTTTGAAATCTACTTCTATTTCGGGTGTAAATAACGCCGCCCAGTCATTGACACAGGAAGTGTGACCAAGACTAGTAGCGTAACAAACCCATACTTAAATGAAAAGGAAAAAAACAACAAAAAACACTCTAAAAACCCTCGATTTCTTCAGATAATATAAATAATTATGTTAGATCTACTATGCCTTGGAACGTGGTTGAGCACACTGGCCTGACTCAGCCGTGGAAATTCTGCAGGTTGATTTGACAAGTAAAATAGCTAAGATTTCAAGTCTTTCATTTTGTCCTGCTCCAAATATATTATATAGATCTAGGCCTCGTATAGTCGTAGGCCTTTTTTGGGTTGTTTTTTTTTTTTTGGGTTTGTTTCGCGTTGACAAATCCAAATTATTTGAGATACACTCAGGGGCGAAGGCTGACTTGTTTGACAGGGTAATCAAAGTGAAACGGAACCAGATATTATGGCCTGGAGATATCACACAAGAATCTTACTCGAGGCGGCGACTCTTAAGTTGTGTGAATGAAAACAAATCCGGAATTCAACCGCCAAAATAATCGGGAAAGTATCTTATTAAATATCAATTCCAACTAAAATTAAATTTAACTGAATACACAAACCCAAAACAAGGAAGCAGAGATGTCAGTACTAGATCTATAATATGTTATAGATCTACCAGGGAGTCTAACTATTTGGTAGAACATGACAATTATCATTTTTTTAAATTTCACTTTTGACTGTTTTTTGTCTAGCTTTTCGCGGCCAGGAGCCGGTGTCATAATCGAGGTCACGATCTGCTTATAGGACGTTAAAAAAAAAGCACTCGTAGCAGTAAAGACATTATTAGGAGTTAGTTCCCCTCACATCTGTAAGGTAGACTCGACCAGTGTAATAGTTCACTTACATAATCAGGGCTTACGACTGATTATATTTGTGGCCCGAAAGGGGTGAACAGGGTGGCAATGAAACAGTATTGACTGCTATGCACGTATTCCCTTCAACTCTATTGGTAGACTCTTCCAGCCCCACTGTAAGCTTATTTAATCAAAGCTTGTGACTGCTTATGGAGTGGCCAGAGAGGGGTGAGCAGGCTATTTCTGTGGCAGTGAAACTGTTTTGAATGTTAGGCATACTGTTCATTGTTGATTAAGAAACGTCTTTTTACATTTAATTTATAAGGTTTACGTTTATGGGTGAATTTGACTGCTACAACGTTTCAAAATTAGGAAGGGAAGCAGTGATTATTTGATTATATAGACGCTTCGCCCCTGGATACACTTATTTATATATATATACATCCATTATACTTTTAGATAGATCTATTGAAAGTAATATAGAAGAAAAAAAAAGTAAATCTATACAGCCCACACCCTTTCTTAATCTAATTCTTTGCTAGTTAATATTGTTGTTGGTGCTGTTTTGTATTTTTGTTACTGATTAGAAAAAATCTCTCCCCCCCCTCTCCCTCTCACATTCACACACACACACACACACACACACACACACTCTCTCTCTCTCTCTCTCTCTCTCTCACACACACACACACACACACACACACACACACACACACACACACACGCACACACACACACACACACACACACACATTACCCCCTTTCTCTCTATGCATGTGTATAAAAATATCTTCTATTTCTCTCTCCCCCTCCTCTCTCTTTTTAACAAAACATAGTTAAATGATTACTCCCTCCGACTATGCAGCGTGTACTATAATAGTTCTGCTTTCTTTCCGTTCTTTGAAAAGATTTCCGCAATTTAGTAACAACTCCGCTACATCCGCAAGTTTTCCGACAGAATATTATTTTGAATGATTATGATCTCTTGTCTTGAAGTAAGGTGCTTCCTTGTCGTTTCTTCTTGCCTCATGATAAGAATAATTTTAATGCTTTCTCCCACGTCACGTGACCTTGCTAGGATACAGTAAACAAAATGGCGTCGGTGGAGGCTACAATTGTGGAAGATTTAAAGGATCCAAGAGTCCCTTCAGCTCTTTATTGGACAATAGAACACGTAGCTGACTGGATAGAGGAGTTAGGCTTCCCACAGTACAGGGTATGTAAATATCTATGTAGACGCATGGCATAGAATTAATCTAGCTCCCCGATTTAACGATTTATTGCATTAAATTGTTGACTGTTAGTAGCCCTACTAATAAGCCTACTACTACTGTTATCCTCTAGATACTAGATTTCTAGATCTAGATCTAGATCTAGATTCTAGATCTACGCTGTTGGCGTTGGTGCATTAAAAAAAAGTTTGTTTTGAATCGAGTTACCTTAGGCATGTAAGATAAGGGAAAACAAACGCACACACATAAATCTATACTAACGAAAGTATGGGTGCACTGATCATGTAAAATGATAAATATAGGTAAGGCACAAAGCACAGGTAAAAATGAAGGAATTTAGCAAAGGAAGAGGCTAGCCGTACTTTTAAATGACGGCTAGACTGCTAGGCTAGCCGGCTAGACTGGCTGCTAGACAGCTGGGCTAGCCGTACTTTTAATTATTCTTAATATGAATATGATGGCTCAACTGACGGTAAAAAAAATATAGGCCTACTGAATTGTAAATATAAATTTTTAGTTTGCATGAGTACCTAAAGTATTTGTATTTGAGATGAAACCAGGTGCCTTAATGTCAGTGCATGTATTTTAAACCTGAATAATTACTAATTAGACCTGTTTTCTAATTATGCTAATAAGGCTAAGGGCCTAAGATAAGTACGGCTAGATGGTTAGGCTAGCCGTACTTAAGGACGGCTAGACAATCAGGCTAGCCGTACTTGTTATTGATGGCTGAATTGTAAATGAAAGTTTTAGTTTGCAATACCTAAAGTATTTGTATTTGAGACAAAACCAAAAGGTGGCTCACTGACTTGCATGTACATTGTATTTTAAACCTGAATAATTGCTAGATCTAATGAGACCTGTGTACTCAACAGGTTTGAGTCGATGGGGCCAAGCCTAGATCTAAGTACGGATAGACTGGCAGTCTAGCCATACTTAAGTACAGCTAGACTCTCAGGCTAGCTGTACTTCGTTTAACAAAAATGTTGAGTAAGCCTACTACAGTCTACAGACCACAGGACAGTTAACAGAACTTATGATGTGTTGTATGGAGTGTGGTCTGTGACTGCAAGCTTGGCTGCCCTCTTAATCAGAACACCCTTGACTTAAATTTTAATTTGTCTGATCATACAACCACTCCACTCTATTATTAGATTGGTGAATGACTGTTATTTTTACAAGTGCTAACCACAATAGTGACTATTACCTGAATTCCAGTAGTAGGTGCACATAATACTAGAGGTTGGAGCTGTGACGTCACCCACGTAAACTCACTAATATATATATTTTTATATATATATATATATATATATATATATATATATATAGGCTCTGCGAGCCCACATCAGCTCGCTTTGTCGCCATTTTAGAGAGGATTAGAAACAACGTTGTGATGCTGAGCGTCCCTTGCAACACCTAGGTCTTCATAAAGTCTGAAGCTCAGTTCAGTTTTATTTTAAGTTTTCTTTTTGTTTGCTGTTGTTGTTTAATCATATGACATACGCACATACACAATACGGCCCCAGCGGTCCGGGCGCGGAATGCCGCAAATACAAACACGCCACAGTCTTTTTCCCCGTCGGCAACTGTTCATTATTACAATGATATAAGCTAGTCTTGACATAGATCTATTCAATGAATTGTGCTCTGGTCTATAGAATCCAAAGTTGCTGTATGCTAGGCTCTACACAGCAACACAACTTTTTGGCAAACGATCGAGATGACACAGGCCTGCTTTTGAACGAATCAGACTTTTTTTGCACAGCGTGTGTTGATAGTCAAGTGTAATCTAAAAATGTTACACCATTTCTTCAGTCAGTATCGCATCTAAGAGAAGAAAATGCCTTAATTTGAAACTAAGCTACATTTAATCGAAGAAGTTGAAAAGGGACAAAAACTTCATGTTTGCTACAATGAACATTCGGATTCAATGAGATTTTAGGTCAGGCCCGACGAATTTGTTGAATCCGAGTTCCACTGTATTAATCTGTGAATTAAAAGTGTTGCTGTGCTCGGACTGGCCTTTTATTCCTCTAGGGAATGGCGGTGCACCCCTCAAGTTTGACACTTGTAACGTCACAGCTAAGACCTCTAGTTCTATTTATAGGGTCCTCATAGGGGAAATTGGAGTACAATGGCATGTAAAATATATTAAAAAATTTTTGTAAGTGTTTTACGGCACTCACAACTGCAGAAGTTCATATGAGCGCGCGGGATACACCTAATATTTTCAGTTGGTAGGAAATTTAGAATTTTGCACGGGTGGCAGCTGAAGCCTACTCTTATCGATTTTAGACCACTTAGGGATTTTTAACGTGCGCAACTTGCACACTGGCCCTCCGAGATTTTTCGTCCTTGTCCGAGATGGCTAGGTGTAGGTCTTTCCTACAAGAAGATCTAGGGTGTGGCTGAAAGACAGCAGTAAAAAGGTGCCAAGGAGTAGCTGTAGAAAGGCTGCAGAAAGAGTCAGGGGCCCAGAAGAGGGGGCAAAAGAGGTGAGGGGGTGGGGGCAGAAAGTGGACACGAAAGCAGACAACAGAACATTGCTAGAGAGTAGGAAAGGAGGTGAAAGGAGTGGAGACAATTTTAGAGAAGAAAATTTTTCGGTGGCTACATGGATTCCAACCCAGGACCTTTGAATGAGAGGCCAACACCTTAACCTCTAGGCCACGAGAGCCCCCGGCATGTACAATACACACAAAGTCATTAAGTAAAATCAATTAACTTTTGAGAGTTACATCAGCAGCACATATATATTATAGTACATAAATATCACAATACAGATAAAGCAAACAAGCTAATACTGGTCGCATATGCATTTGACACATCTGACGAGGTGCCATTTCTAGATGCATATGTGAGAAACAGTCTGTGTTTGAAAAGGCTGAATTGTTCTTGAAGTCTTCTTGTTTCTTTAACTCTGTTGTAGTTGGTCCTTAACAGACAGCTCATGCTGAGCTACAGTACAGATGACCCCGCTTTGAATCCCCAGTGAGGTGTCTTTGGCGAGTTTCAAGGCTCTCCAACTCCCTCCTCTTGGATCAGCCTTATTGAAGATTGACGTACGATTTGGAGGTCGTGAGGTCCCACTTCTAAATTTACCTTTTTTTTTTTTTTAGGCTTGTTTCCTGACAAATCTGATCAATGGCCGTAAGCTGTGCTGCCTTCATGCCTCTGCTTTCCCAGACATTGGAATCACAGATTTTGAGCACATTAAGGTAAGCCCTGATACTGTTATTTTTCTATTTTGGTTTTCTGAAGGATGTTCAAGGGCGCTGTATTAATTATATAGCCTACAGTAGTCAAGCACAGATATTCAAACATGCAAAACTTGAAGGACTACTCATTAAACTTTTGCCGCTTGGAGGGAATGTATTTCTCCACCCTATCTTTTAAGGGACAGATATTAATTTAGAGTGTATCTCATGATAATGGCCTACTATATATTGTACCAAACGTGCCTAAGGACACAAAGCCAGACTGAGCCGAGCTTTGAACTCAGGTCCTGAACCTGCAATCTCACAATTACAAGTTGGGAAGTGTAACCATTAGAAGACCGATGCCACATATCGGGTATTTTTCATGATAGTATTGATAGCAGTGATTTATTTTCTGACCATTATACTATCGGGATAAAGTTACTTCCCTTGATTTGCTTCAATAATATTTCTCTTATCATTTGTTGTTACGTTTGACTCAAATTATACATGGACGGGTTGAACACTTTTGTCAAGACCCGCTGTGTTCGAGGATTGGTGCTAGACTGTATATTCTCTTGCAATAGTTAAAGAATTGATACTTTCACCCATCTCGCCACCTCTTCCCTAAAAGAAAAGGCTGCCATATATTTACTGTCTCTTCTTTGCTTCGACTGAATTTCACTTTGAGTCATTATGAGGCACTCTAAATTAATATCCATCCCTGAAATGGCAGAGTGGGAAAATACACATGTATGGCTTCTCTCCAAGCTGCAAAAGTGTGCTCTGAAGAAGAGTGGTCCTTGTTAACCTTGATATATTCTGGTTGTAAAATGAAGTGGAGGAGCTTATTTCCAACAGTTTTAGATTTAGAAAAACAGATGATGCAGTTTGTCTTGGACACTGTGACGGAAAAGGAAAGATTTAAAAAATGTGAATATTGTGTCATGAAAATTTATTGTTTCAAAATATAATATACTGCAAGTAGTATAAAGGCTGCTAATTTTTTGTTGCAGATAATAGCCAAAAACATTAGAGACTTGATTTATCTTGAAGAGCCCTTCTGGAACAGAAGTATAGCTGACCCTCCCAAAAATGACCTGGGTGAGTACATTTTGAAATAATATCTCGTACATGATGTATGCAAAAACTAGCATGTTTTAGCTATGGAAAGATACGCACTGAACTTTCCCAGGATAAGATGGGCACATTACAAATAATTAAGACCTCGTGGAATCAAATCTTAGACCAAGTTTAACCCACATTGCCTGGTTTTGGTACCTGCAGAAGAGGAGGTATTTTTATCAGTTACTGTTGCATCAGCAGTAATATCGCATAGCATATTAGCAGTGACATGATAGAAGTAGGAAGAGCTGCTTGAGTATCAACTGTAACTTGTAGCTGTAGCATCGGTTAATCAGAATGATTTTAAACTGTTTAAAGCGGTATTTACTCCTTTATTGCCTGGGGTTGTGCGTTCCTTCTGTCAGCACTGATTTCCAACTAAGCTAGGGCTGCCCACCCACCAGCAGAATATGTTTTAGTAATCAGCAAATAAAAAATTAGTAATATGGCCATGGATTGTCTTCTTCCTTGGGGGTGTCAAGGAGAGGGGTTGTAGTCAAGCAAGTATAAAAGTAATGCAAACAAAAGCATGTTGGAAAAAGCTGTCTTGACGGGCTCGTCACTGGTCGAGTTAAGAAAAAAGGGCAGAAAAGGGGCTATTGTATTAAGTTAAATAAAGTCTCAAACAAGGATCCATTAACTTTGATTAAGGGGTATCGCAACCTTGCCAACAAACTTTTCAACCAGAGAACCTGAGAAGCTAGTATTGGTATATATGTTGATACTTATGTGAAGGAATGAAAATCGAACCTTTCAAATAACTCATAAGTTCATCGGTTACCATCTTGAATTTTGTTGACAATTTTATTTTCTTAAACATTTCAAAACTATGCTACCAAGACCATTTTTTTAAAAAGCAAAAGGGAGAGAAGACATGAAATTTTACAGCCAGCTAGTTTTCATATGTATTGATAGGACCATTAGTAATCAGTTCAGAGGTTTCCAAAGATAGCTTTACCAAACAGAGTGGAAAATTTAGGGGGGGCACTGAGGAAGAAAGCCCCTAACATTAAAGCATGAGTCGCTATCGTCATAAAAACTAGTCAGCTGTTTGTAGTTTTGAATAAAAAACGATCTGTGTGCCAAATTTCAAGTCTGTATGTTGAAAAACATGGACAATTTTATGAAAATAGATTTGTGAGAGCATGTGGTCATCTGTGAGGATAGACTTCGGATTGCTTGCAAACCTAGCTGTAAACTAATACTAGCAAATTTGATACTGGCATGTACATTTTTTATTCCTGAATATGAACCCCTGCTGTGCTTGTGGCTTAAACTCCATACAGAAGAAATGGAGCCAGATAATAAGTGTGACATACATGTAACATCTTATAGGAAATCAGGAGTGGCAAATTTTGTCAACTTCCGTGACTGGTATGGCACAAAGCTAAAAATTATGCGTTGTCATGACACCCCAGGTATGTCATGAAGCAACAAAGGGATAATGGTCTAATTTAAGTTAGATAGAGGTTAATATGAAAAGGTACATAAATAACTTAATAAAATATTGCAAAATAAACATAAAACAAAGGAAGAGATTAAAAAAAAAAGAAAAAAAAGATGGGCTATGTTGAAGAAGTTGTGTCCTTATAGTTAAGTAGAGTTTGGTGAAATAGAATGATCAATGAAAGTTTAACTGGAAGCAATTTACACTCATAAGTTTGTTTTTACTTTTCTTTCTACCCCAGGCATGTACTTGGAGCTGAAATCTTCAACTGGAAAGAACATCGACACCACCACCCTCAAACAGATGTATCTCAACAACCCCGACCCCAAGTGGCAGCCACCACTCTCAAATCAGTGCATGATTCTGCCACGAAACTAACACCCCATGTGATGTCTGTCCTTTCACGTTTTCCGAACAGTGCTATTGCTATATGAACAGAATATTTTCAAACTCACGTATGGATTCAACCCCAAGAAGTTGAAGCGACATTTCATTAAAAGGAGACTGGCACAAATGCTCAGATGGAACAAAGGAACATTATATTAAAGCGTATAAAGTAAAATAAGGAGGCTGAAATATACGACTGATTAATCCTACCATTTTTAGCTGTTTTGTAGGACAAACAGCTCAACAAAAGTCCCCAAAGGAATATCAATAGAAAATTTTCATAAGTGAAGGACAGTATTTAAGTGGGTGCTGTGTAAAAATAACCCTTGTAAATAGTTCACAAAACAATAAATTCTCTGATGTACACATATTTGACAGTTGTTTTTTTCTCATATTATTGCTATTATTTTTAAAATCTGGTGCAGATAATATAGTGAGCATTCTTGTGTACTCTGTTTCTTCTTCTGTTTCTAAATGTTTCTGTTGTCTTGATCAGTTCTTAGGGTAGTGGCCATTACCATCACAACTCTCCCAAAACTCAACTCCACTCAACACTTTTTTTTTCAATCACAACACCTTCATAGTTCTTTTTTTGGCCTACATCACAACTGAACTTCAAATTTCCGCATTTTTTAAATGTCCAAACCCAGCAGTCTCTTAAGTCTGCACTTGGACAAGGAAAAAAAATAAAAACTCTATCCCAAATATGCCCAGGCACAATAAGAACAGGATAATAAAGAAAAACACAACTTGGAAATGTACGCGTTTCCAGTGTTTATTACATCATGCAACCTGATCAAGCACACAAAACCTCCAGAAAAGATCTAAAAGAAAAATAACTAATTGCATTTTAACATCCATTCCAGTCCTAAAGCAATCATTTCTGTTATTCTCAGGCATTCTTGATACTACTTCAAGGCTATAAAATCATCATGATGTTCTGCTCTATACATTTTCAAGTTTATATAGAATCTTATATTTCCCAATGAGAGAAAATGGTCAACTCTCCCTTATAACTGCACTATGCCTATAACAGTTGTGCAACTAGAAACTTCAGATAAAAGGGTTCTATGAAGATTGTTGTTTCCACTGGTGCTGTCAATCAGCAACTTTGAACTTGACTATGATTGACCAAAAGCTAATCTCCCCTAATTGCTAATGGACATTTACCCCCGAGCTCCCCAAAAGACAAACACAAGTCCTCAGAGTCGTCCACTAGCGCTGACGCTCCAAAGGCATAAGCAGGGCATCATGCAGAGAGGTAGGATGATGCAAAACCACAAGACAGACTTCTTCACACCACACAGAGTCTCCGATTGTCATTCTAGTGCCACCTCCATCATCTGGGTAACCGAACTTAGGGCCTCATTTGCATGCTTGGCTGAAATGGAAACAAAGTACACTTTTCATTGCTATAATCATCGGTGAAAAATAGTTATTGACCTTGGACAAAATCAATACAATTTCTAAAACGCATTCACCCCCCCCCCCCCCAACCTGACAAAATGACAACCCAAACAAGTGAACAAACAAAACAAAAAAGACAAACCAAATTAAAATACATGGACTTAGCAAAAGAATGCAAGACAACATACTTCTCTAGACAGTGCAATGAAAACCAAGCAAGAACACACTTTCACTTTCCCACTAAACAAAAAAAAAAATTGTTGGTTTATCTTATTTGCTATTTTGAAAATTATTGCATATTATTTTACGAGCCCCATCAACACAATAAAGATAATTTTGTAGGTGGGTTACTTCCACCCTGACAATCAGGACCTATCTAGGCTGAGAGAGATATCCTAGAAGACAGACAACGATATTAAATAAAACAAGTTTCCCACAATGGGAGTCGACGTACTTATGTCTTCTGCATGCAACAGCCAAGAGCCTAACCCTTACACCACAGACGCCAGTTTCGAAAGCGTGATGTCTCCAGTAAACAACCTTGACCAAGTGTTATCTGAACAGCTAACCATGAACATGCATGCTGCTAGATAAGCAGGGGACAGATTGGAGCAGTTTAGACCTTGCTGGTAAAATACTTGCTCTAAAAGTGCATTATAATGAAAATATAAAAAACAATAATAAAAGGAATGTTGCCACAAATCCAAACATTAATTATGAATTACACAGGCCTATGTGTTGCAAGTCAATTTTTCGGCACATACACTTTTATTGATATATCCTCTTAAAGCTAATTCATTTGTCTTGCATTTGGCAAAACAACAACGCCCATCTTGAACAGAAGTTTATATATTTGCAATTGAAGGAGGTCGGGATCTCCTGGAGTGAAAGGTAAAATTAGTGAGAAAATGGCTGCCAAAGTATGGCGACTTCTAAAGCTTGAATGTCCTTGGAAATGTACATTTTTTGTGCCTTTAATCAATGTTTTTTATGTAACATCCACACAAAAATGTGTTTGTAAAAGGACATAAAAGGTGTTGAGCCCCCCCCCCCCCAAAAAAAAAAGGAAAAAAAAAAGAAGAAAAATCAGAAAAAATTGCCCTCCAAAATACCGGTTTAATTAATTTCATTGTTTTCACCAGCACCTGATTTCACCACTCTGTCTCACATATATATTGAATTTTAAAACACCCCAGACTCAATCACTCAACTAGAAAAGCAAAGCCTACAGAACAGGCAACCCGTATTAGATGCAAGTCCTTGAGTGAATGTTTCCAAACCTGTGTAGTCCTCTAAACTGTCTGAAACCTGTCTGAATAGGCAAGGACCTCCCTTCTTTAGTCTAGCCTCCCAAATTCGATAACCAGTACTCACATTTTCCTAAAACGACTGTGGGAAAAAAAAGAGCTAAAAAGCTGGGGTGGGGGATGGGGGGAATACTCACACATTGTAGAAATGCTCTGCTTCTGACCAACAATGCAGCTGTTGAGCTCACATTTATCTCCAATTTTAGCAGAGTCACAAATGATGCAGTTACTGATGTTTGAACTGAAACATTATAGTACAGAGCATATTACCGGTACGAAAATTGTTTACAAATCAACTCTGTCCACAATCTTATGTAATTAGCTTTTTAAGATTAACACTTTTATTTCTTGCCTTGATCAAATCAAACAAAAGAATAACAACAAAGTAAAACTTGCCATAAATGCCATTTAGATTTATTTTTACACATAGAGGAAATCCATTTATTTCCAATACAAAGAAATAAGGAGAGGTAACATGTTGAAACTACAACATTACATCTTCAGAGAACAATGTTTACCAACCATACTTTTCTAAAGATTGAAAGGACTTGTATAACGCTCGATCCATGGTTACATTGAACCTGCAGCATACACTGACTATTATGATCAGTTACTAGATTTAGCAAGTTTTATTTTAAGCTCCTGATGCATCCGAGCAAAGGAATGAATGGAAAACCATGATCGCCGATGTCTGTCGCAGATCTGGCACTGGATGATGATGATGATGATGATGCACTAAATTCGCAGAGCACTAAGTCACTATCTTTCGCCTGCAAACACAACACATTCCATTGAATTCCTACCTAAATAGGATCCGCAAGGATACCCCACCCGACTGTCCTTTGGGTGACTGCCAGGATGAAACAGTACCACACCACCTCTTTACCTTCCCTGCACTTAGCAACCTGCAAAGCACCTACCTACCTGCCTCCCCAGAAATTGGAAATACTCTATACAACGACAAAACGCAGCTGACAAAAACCTGTAAATTCTTAGCCATATCGACAGGCTGAAGGGCTAGAACACAAATGGCCGCTGGATCAGAAAAGTAAAGTAAAGTAAGTATTTTAAGCTCATCCTGTTAAATTGGCCTTACATTTAGTATGTGGACTACTAGCAACACACAATAATTATTAACTTCCTCGTGTAAATTTACTTCTTTGTATATTTTATAGTTTTGAATGGGTTTAACCTTACAGTCTTCTCGGAAAAAATATAACACCGACTCAAGAAAAAAAAACAACCCCCTGCTAAGATGAAAAGTATTTAACAATCTCAAAGGATTTTCAGAAAGCCACAACATTATTTGCTCCCATCTGTGTCATTGTCAAGGAAAATAAAGATATATATTTCAGATACAAGAACATAACTATGTTGTTTTTATACAGTGTAATTATAGATTAACACCTCAGTGGCCATTCAGCCCATTATGATTTTAAAATGCACTGAGAGTCTGAGTTACTTTCCTTCTCGGTATGATGCCTTTATGAAAATTCACACTAAAACAACAATGAGAACTAGTACTACAGCCGTTTTGAAACTCACCTTTCTAGAATAGTGACATGATCCATGATGATGGAATTCGTAATCTTGACTTTATCATCAATCTTGCAGTGTCTTCCGATGACGGATTTCTTGATAGAAACCTTCTCTCCGATCTCAACATTTTCACCAAGAAGACAATCTGCTCCAACCTGCATTATTTTACAAAACAGAGGATATAAAGAAAAATGAGACACACAGACTCCAGGTTAATGTCCTCACTTTTCTCGTATCAAGTCATTACGGTAATAGCAAAAAGATCAAGCAACAATCCAAGATGTATAAGCCATACTGAAATAAATATCTGGAAAGCATAAATCAAAACGACATTTAGAGGCAATTAATATTTTTTTTCTCACTGAAGAGCAGAGCATCAGCGACTTATTTCCATAATTCAAATAAAAAGTAAATAAAAATAAACAAAAAAGGGACTATGGACTACTGGAATACAGTAGAACATGACTATAGCGGGACTTTAGGTTCCAGAAGAAAAATCCCGCTGTAGGCAAGTTCCCGCTATAGTCTACACTACACACTCTCCTCTTCTTTTACTGTCTTTTTGGCTTAGCCTAGGCCTTGGGCTATAGCCCATACGCTCTTATACTATCATACTCTGAGCGTCTAGGCTATGGCACATCACTTTTGGAGTGGCTCACGTAACGCGCCTCTCCGCACCATCTCTCTCTACTGCCTGCCCCACCTCACCTAACCAATCACAGAGCCGCACTGCTGACTGCCTGTTCGGAGCCCACCTACAGCCCCCCAACCCCCCCCCCCCAGCAAGAGCTCGCTCTATCTCTCCTGCTGTATCAAAGTTCGGGCCCTTCCTTGCCCTGTGAAACCCAAGCATATATAACTGAGTTTACATAAAAACAAAAAAGGGGGATTCCGGTAAGGTACCGCTTTAGCGAGTGCCACTATAGTCATGTTCTACTGTACTGTCAATTAATCAAACAGTTAATATGCACAGGCCAGTTACGCAATTACTCTAATCCCCCCCCCTCCCCCCGAACATTACTTCTACCACGTCATCACAAGCAAGGTGTGTGATAAAAACAACCAATGAAAGGTTTACTACCACCTACCACACACTGAAAGGAGAAGAAAATTAATAGAAAAACAAACCAAAAATTTTCGTGACAGAAAAAAATAATTCCCTGTCTGTCAATTCTCCATAACACAACACATTTTTCCCTACCTGTGACTTTGGCTTGATTGAGGTGGACTCTGGCACAGGTGGCATGGTCCCTTTGCTCTTGTTGTCAAGAAACTGGAGCATCAGTCGAGGGATCTGAGCAGACAGAGGGATAACGGTAAGGGTGAAAAGAAGTTATTATTTTTAGAGCAGAGAAGCACCTCGACACAGTAACAGCCATTTAGTGCTGGGAAAAAGTGAGAGAGACTGACAGAAATAATAGGGCTTACCATTGGCACTCTCTGACCTCCTGCGCAGTGAACTAAAGAGCAGACGGTATACAAATAGTTCATTTTAACTGCTGGCAATTTTCAGTTATAGAGACAGAAAACGATAGTGAACACTATAACCCTTTCTGTACCAACTACCCGTACATCAGTGCCTTTTGATGATGTGCTGATAACTTGTGGCACATAAAGAGTTGAGATCACTCGTAACTAAATATCATTACTATCATTCAGCAAGAACAGCATTTTCTTATATCAGCTGTATCAGTACAGCACCTGGATATGGATGGCTGGTGCCTCTATAAATAAATCATTGATGGTCAAAGGTCTGTATCAGTAACATAGAAAGTAAGTTGCTGTAGACAAAAAAAGCACACATATTCTATCTCTGGATTTGGGTTGGACTGCTATCAACACATGTCATTTTCCTTCCAAATATAATTCAATTTTTCAATTCCAGCACACACACACACACAATTTTACTTGGCTACAATGTGCCCTTGATCCCGATGATATATAGTTTAAAATCATAAAATACAGTAAAAGAACACTTTTCCATAAACAATAATAATAATAATGTAGATCATTTATATAGTGCCCACTCCTGTGTGAACACAGCTCGAGGCGCTTTACATGAATGCATCATGTACGAACAATATTCACGCACTCACACATGCACACCACATACACACACTTGCTTGCTTATTACACGCGCACGCTTACACATTGTTACTAAATGAGCACATACAAATACATAATAAAATAATATACACAGAGCAATTCGTTGGTTACAAAATACATAAATGGATACAGCCATTTTCAGAACATTGTACCGAATATGAATCTACTGACATAAAAACGATTTCAATAAATGCATCTTTAAAGAATTCAGATGTTGCCTAAAATTGCAAAAAATTGCGGGTTTATTACGGAACTCGACAAAAACGCGACCGCGATTTCTGGGGGGGGGGGGGGGGCAGTTCTATGTGTCCCTCTGAGCTTGAGACAATGTAGCAAGGAAAGTGAGTAAAGAAAGAAACTACAATAAACAATGATTATGAAATTCTTATATAGAAAAGGACTCAAAATAAAAGGTTCCATTACCTGTTTACAAGCTTCGAAATAAGCTGCAATGGTGTTAGCCCTCACACAGAAGCCTGCTGTTTGTCTGTATGCATAGCACCGGATCAAGTCCTTCTGTGGGCTGTCTGGGCTTGCACCTTCATCAACACAAATAAAAGTTCTTTACAGAAACCATCAATTCAAGTGTGAAATAAATAGATAATAATTTCCAAAAAAGTTGCGAATAATGGCAAACAAAAATAGCATAGACACAAATATTATGTAGAGGTAGTAAACCTTGCGTTCACAAAACTCAAAACTCATAGAAATAGACTGTTAAGTGCATAGAGCTAGCAACTGAGTGGGGATTTGAGCAATACAAGTGCTATCTTTTATTAAACATTATAAAATGAGAAATACTTCCCATTTTTTTCCCCTCCATTCATCAGCAAGTCGCCCAAGTTTAACAGAACCCACAAACAAGCAGGACCAGGCTCACTGAGGTAGTTTGCCCAGTGAGCTGCCTCAGTTGAAATGCCTTTTCATCACACAAAAATAACTGAACTCTATTCCAAGCAACAGACAATTTGCTAAAATAGTGATCATTATGTGAGTACCGTATACCATATTCTAAATGACATATTGCAGACACCCAGTCATTTCACGTAACAAATCAGAGCAAAGTGCACCAATGTTTCTTATCAAGTACTTCCATTTTTTAACCCTATCCGTACATCGTGTTTTACTATCGTATCTATTCAACGTGGGGAACTCTGTGCCACCACTTTCCAAAGAGGAAATTTACTCGTTAATCCAATGTGTACGCTTTGCCTACCAGTCTGTCAAAATGACTTTTTGAGAAATACTGAAAGTTTCAAAGAGACCTTCGTGCTAGAAGTATTCTAAAATGTGAAGAATACAACCCCTGGGGTACAAAATGACCCCTGGGCGTACGGATAGGGTTAAAACTGGTAAACATCCCTGTCTTCATTGGACCCCATTGGCAGGGTCTAAGCAGACCAATACTGAGTCAAAGAAGGTGCAATATATTTATATAAAGCAACAAATAGAAAGACCACCCATATCACTATGCACACTATTGGTGTCACGTCATACAATCCATTTAACATAGGGACAGGCTGACATTAGAATTTGAGTAAAGAGAAGCATATTGAAACAATAAAAATCACATACAGCATGGAAAAAGCAATTAGGACAGACTGATACAACAGAGGGGGAAAAAAAAAGTAGGATTTACCAATGGTGGCCTGCAATAGCTCACATTAGAAGCAAATCAAGACAAAATTAATACTGAACAAGATGAACAAGAAGCATACAACATTAAAGCACCCACCAATCACTTACAACCATGAAAATCCCTGACAAAACAACTAGTTGTTGTTATCAATCCAAAAAACCACACGTTTCCGCCATTTCACTTTAGTCATAAGTTCTATATATATATACTGCACTATCTGGCTGCTGGAGAGGAAGCCAACCCACTGGTTCCCCAATGGTTCAACAGACAAAAGTAGCTGAAGTACCGGTACAAGAAAGAAAATAATTCCTGACTGTGGCACATCCACCATCCATCCCCCTCCCCCTGCCCCCCAAAACAAAAAACAAAATTGCTTTCATTCTACGATAAGCAGAACAGAATTTACCAAAATTGCTGCTAGTTAGGGACAGGAAATTTGCCTCCCTTGTCAGGTCAAACTCACATCCTGCAACGTAGTCAATGAGATCTGAGGACAGTGGAATATTCAACCTTTCAAAACAGAGGAAATAAAGTCTGCAACAGGCATTCCTCACATTAAAAAAACAAATTTACTCCATGCAGAATTGATGCCTTTTGAGGAGAAGAAGAATCTTGACAATATTTTTTTCTCCTTATTCTCTGATTCTAGGAAAGAATAAATTATGGAGAAAAAACCCCAATTAAAAATATGATTTACTAATGTCATTCCCCACAAATTAAGGCAGGACCCTTTTCATGATCCATTTACAAAAGTGTATACAATACATTGGAGTGTGCACACTCAACTTTTAGAAATCCAAGGTTTCAAACAGATTTAAAAATCCCTTTTGAACGAACCTTTCATCATCCAATCACCCTTTTTCTGTGTATTTGATATTACATGCATTTTACAGTCCCTTCTATACTGTATTTGTGTAAAACACATTGAAGTTTCTATTTTATTACTGATTAATCATGTTAAGCAAATACCACAAACAGATGCAAGAATAACTTAAAAGAAAGGGTGGCAATTTAAGAAAACTCAAATGTTTGGAGTATTTTATTAAATTACGACATCTAACTCGTCACCCATGGCTACATCTTTTCTTTATGTGCTGACATGACTTGTAATGCGACACTAAAAACTCAGCATCTTATCCTGTGCGATATACATAAAGCTAAGGTATTTCCTTTGGGTGAAAAACAATGACAAATTCACACTAGTAGGCCTACATACATTTTCGCTGTGCTGCACACTTTTTCCGCACTTTCAAACCCCTCTAAATTGTGTTAAAAACGTCATTGTCAGAACGCCCTCATTACTGTTAAATTGAATTTTCAGGTCAGGAATGTTTTTATATTTCAAGAAGATCAAAGAAATTTGCCACTTTGAATAAACCATTCAATGTGCAGATTAAAAGACATGAAAGTCGAACGGTCAGTTACAATATAAGACTGCAGGCAAAACAGCTGGGCAATACAATAGTCAGTTTTTGAGAAAATTGCAAGTACCCGTGGGCATGAAAAAATGAATGGACAATACAAATGTAAATCAAAAAGTAATCTAAAGTAAAACAAAACTTAGTCAAGAAGTAACTCCAAAGTCAAGAAGTAACCTCATGTCATACCAAAATCAAGAAGCAACCACAAACCTTTCCTCTTCTCTGGTTTATTATCAGCATCGGCGGAGGTCATATCAGCTTCCTCGGTGGTGGTCATGTCCGCTTCCTCATGCGACTTGTCTTTCACCAGAGTGGACATTTGTTTTTTCACAACCTGGGGGAGTAGCTCGCCTTGCAGGGAGTTGATGTCACTACAAGAAGAGCAGACTATGTTGTTTCAGTTTGAGTAAAGAAAACAATAATGGTCACTTCGAGCTGGGAAAACCCAACAGATACAGTTTCAGTTTGGTTTATGAGAAGCACATCAATCTAATAGAATAATCATCCATTAGTGCTGGGGGGAAAAAAGTAAGACTGACAGACAGGTAGAAGAGATGGGGAGGAGTCGGGAAGAAGAGTATAGGTGCGAGGGTTTAAAGCCCCAATCAACATGATTAGTTTATTCAAGGTACCAAAAACCACAACACTATCATAGAAATCATAACTGATCATTAAGGGAAATGGTATTAACAACACAGTAATATAACCGTGGTGCACTCTCACTTTCTGTAGCAGAACAAATCAAAGAGACAACTGACTCTCACTTTAATGGCATATATATTTGCCAATATCAAACAATTTAGAAAGCCTGCCCTATTTTGTATTTTGTGTAATACAAAAGGCCAATCTGCTTCTTAATTTCAATTCCGCTACCATGGGATGTTACATGTTTTAAGAAAAGGTGCTAAAACTTTAATTATAAAATCAAATGATACCAAAATCAAAAGGGGGGAGGGAGAAGACCATTTGATTTTTCAGTACTTTGTAGCCACACAAAAAATGGAGCATCAAAATTACCTTCTGTTAATCAGATATTCTATGACAAACTTGTTTATCATATACACATGGCAGTCAGTCCACTTGCTTTGTATTCTTGTGCAGGGGAACCTAATCAGAGAGGATAATAATACAAAGTGTGAATAAAGCAAGAAAATGATATATCTGTCTGCCCCGGTCAATATCAGTCATAAGACGCACTGTTCTATTATCAGCTATGAGGCTCGAAAGGCAAAAAAGTGACTTTCCATGAAATTTTTGTTGTTTGGATATATTGAAAGTTTGATGTCTTCTGCTTCATATAAGATAAACATTAACAACTTTAAGGAACCATAAATCTTTTATTTTGGATTTATTTTGGAGGCATGTGTGGTTTGTTGTGAGCTTGGGTGACTAGATAAAGGAATTTGGACCTTGCTAGTGTGTAGCTGGGAGATTATTTTTAGAACCATTACCTCATGGCCACCTTTGCTTCAACCAAAGATACTCCACATTGCAGTATCTTTGCTTCAATGTTCTTCATTCGCAACTTTTTAAAGATTTTGACCCCTTTTCGAGTATGAAGGGTCTGAAATGTAGACAACCCTGATTGGTAAAATGGAGTAAAAACTGTAACTTCTAGCTCACTTCGAGCTTGTTTACGTAAACAGCTGAATGTGTCTGTTGACCGTTCAGTTTTACACTTTGGTTGACTTTAAAAATTCGTTTTCAATGTGTTTTAGTGCTTTTAAAAGATTAATTAACCTTCCTCTAGATCTCTCAAAGCGGATTCCTTACCAAGAGGCTAGCAGGCGGTCTATGTGTGTGTGTTGGTGTATTTATATGTGTGTGTACGTGCGCGCAGGCGCGTGTGTGCTCTCGTGTGTTTATGGTGCAATTGCAAACGTATAATTAGGTAACGCAAACACGGCACATAAGCCGACTCGCGGCCTTCCGAGCGCGTGGTTTCTGTAAAATGGGGGTAATTCAGATCTGTTTCTTTGCTCTTTTGCTATAAACACCAAATGCTGAACACTTTGAAAAAGTTCAGATTTCCTTCTTTACAATAGTGTAAGTTGTTTGTATATTATAATCCGAGTATGAGCTGGAAAATCGCCGTGGAAAGGGAAGCCCCTCGCGGTCGGTATACGAGGTGGGCCGGTTCAAAATTGACACTCATGCATTCGAATGCTTTGCACAAAGTTTGATGATTAAATACCATCTTTTCATTGGCGGAGAATTATACATCTTTAAGTGTGGTTTCCCATGGTTATTTTTGGCCTTTGGCGTTTGGATAGAAACCTTGAAAAAAAAAAGCGTCCAAGTTTTCAAAGATCATTTTAAACATGAAAAGTGTAAAATACCAGCAAAAAAAGGTTTCAATAGAAAGAACAATTCTTTTTCTATTAGAATAAAGTCATCGACTTGGAATTATTTTGCATGAATCCTTCCGCGGAACTACCGGGAGCACTCAGTACACTACAGTATTGAATCGACTTGCTCGCCGCGAGGGCTGGTGCGGTACCGGCCGAGACAACACTCGGTGTTTTTATTGAAATAACGACATATCATCGTGTTTGAGGCAATAAAATACTGATTTGTAATGATCTCACAGTCTGAAAAAAATTAGGCTTCATTTCTTTGTTATAATGATTGTACTCTGTTAATATAGAGATGTTTAGTGCACTTAGTACTCTTTTATTATCTTTCAAACATGGGGTTGCAGCCAGTTAGCGACTTCAGCAATATTTGATTTTTATGTTCAATTGAAACAGCAGCCATGCTTTTAAACATTGACTGAGAGGTAAAAGTATGATACAAAAATTCTCAGGAGACACAGGCCTTTCATGTGAAACATGAATTTGACATACAGCTACTTTAAAAATTTAGTATCTGATACCTAGTATAATGCTAATATTTTGTTGCATTTGATGTGAAGTCCATTTTCGTGAAAAAGTTGTTTGGTCCATAAGTTATTTCTCTGTAAATGAATAGTTTTCTACTTCTGTATGTTACCTTGCAGTCGCATTGCCAAGATAGCTGCTAAATTTCAAGTCTCTAAGTCGCATTGCCAAGATAGCTGCTAAATTTCAAGTCTCTATCTCAATTGTAAGACCCCCATTGCTAAGGAAACATGTTGCTCAACTTCGAAGGCCATTTTCTCCTTTTCATGTTTCCTCACCTCGCACAATTAAAAGTTCTGTATTTTCGTCAAATATGGTCATATTTACTTCATTCTTGTTTTAAATTGTAGGGAAAAGGTGATAGTTTTTGAAAATAGTGTTAACTCAGTTTTGAAATTTCCTTCTTATGACTGACATTGAGGGGCAGGGACACATATATAGTCAAAGAGGAACTTAATCCATCACAAAAAAAAGAACACTTCAAAGAAACTTTTTCAAGAATATCTTTAAAAATGCTTTAGTTTTTGGACACAGAAAAACATGTACATATTTAACACAGGTTACAGAAGAAACAAAGTTTACTTTACTCTTCAGGTCAGTAGAGAATTTTCATTCAGACCAAAGCCTCCCAGGGGCTGATCCTAAACAGCAGTAGGGTGGGTTACAAAAGTCTATATAACTTTCAAACAACTAGGCCCACATCAACATTTTTGGTATGTTTGTGTTCAGAAATGAAAGTTGCATTCACTGGTGTTTATTTTATATGCATTTATTGAAGTATAAAAATAGACTATTGAAGTAAAAGGCCATTAGCAAAAAAGAAAACTGTTGCAATAATACATAACACCTTTCACAAAAATATGGGTGTAACTTAATAAAACTTCAACACAAAACCAAAGTAAAAGAAGCAAAAAATGTTGATATACATTCTAGGATTACATCAATGGGCTTTGAAGCTCATTCTTCTGAAATACACACAAATATAAAATTTTGTATCAGAACCCACATTCAGCATTAAAAAAATGTAAACACAGCTAGATGTCTATATATATATATACACACACGTTTTGTTATACAATAAATCAAAGGCTTACATCTATATTTTTGTTTGAATGTATGGATAATATGAAGACTGTGTCTTCATGCACATTTTAAAAGTAATTTTGAGTAATTCTTTTAAGTATCCAGGTGTAAGATAAGGTGTACAATAACCATATATATATATTTATATATATATATATATGAATGAAAAAAAGTCACATTCACATACATACGATGAACTAACCTGAATAGAGCTTCAGCAAGATCCAACATGTAGATTTATAATATCCAAATTGAATAAAAATTTTGTCTCAGCATAATACAAACAAGAAAACTGTCACTATAATTATTTAAGGAGCAATCTTTGTCCCATGTATCCACTGTTTGTCAATCCAATGACACGAGAAATCAACACGCACAAAAATTCTGTAAAGTACACTATTTACAAAGGAAGAAAATTCTCACAGGGCATTTCTGCGAGAGTGGTATTTATAAAAACAGTCTCTTGGATGCAGAAATGGTCTGTCACTACAATCTGAGCAGACAAAAACTGTTCTTTTGCGTCCCCCAACTGGTCCGCTGCACACAACACAATTTCGGTCCCTCCTGTTGTACTGGATCAGATGCATCTTGGATGTGTCAAAGAGTTCAAATGAAACTAGCTGGGCAGGATCCACATTGTTGTTCAGGGTAATGCTGGACTCCATTTCTTCTACTAATATACTTTTGAACTTACGAAGCTCAACAAGCTTGTTGCTGGGATGTACCAGAGTGTAAAGAATATAGATCTGTGCACATTGACTTGGGAGTTTTTTAACAGCCAAAAAAAAAAATTCTTCCACCATTTTTTAGACCGGTGCTCATGAACACCATAATATGACATATTCTGGTCGGCTGTGTCACAGCCATTCATCGCTTGATTGTATTCAACAACCAAGGCTGGCTTGCTAGCTTCACCAACATTTACACGAACAGTTTTCATTTCAGCATTTGAATTTGTAGAAACAAGAACAATGGTTTTTTGGCTTTTTTGTCTCGCCAAGCCACAAACAAAATCTTGTTGTCGTCTCCCATACACCATCTTGTTTCCTTATGCTTCAGTTTGTGTGTCTTCAATTCCTGCGGAAATGTTTTTCTTGTGACTTGGAGAGTCCCCTTGAAGTAAAAGGCAGTAAACCATAGGCAGCCCGGTATAATACCTATCTACGAAAATGGTGTGCCCTTCTCTGCCGTGTTTCAAATATCTTCTCTGCTTGCACAGATTTGGGGTTACATTCAGGGTCATAAGAGGTGTCTTTCCAGCAGTACAAAAGAAAGTTGTACACATATCCAGTCAGGCTATCCCACAATCCAAAAGTTTTGATATGGTACTTGTGTGGTTTCGACGCCTTGAACTGCTTATTTGTCCATCTCCCTTTGAAACAGATTATCAATTGACAAATTGTCAAAAGGAAAAAATGCAAACTGAAACCTGTCAATCAGCATATCTATGAAAGGCTCAATCTTGTCCTTTTGCTCCCCACCAGCTTTACCAGCATGTAGCATGGTATGGTATATAGATAAAAATCAGTCGTGGCAAGGAAAAACCTTGAAAAACCAAGGAAAAAACCAGTAGGAAGGGGATTTTGTAAAATAATCCCCAACTCTCGGTTTTTTGTCCATACAAATGACAATAAGCACCATCAAAAATCTAAAATAGGTGTCTCTGTCAATGTCTTCCCATTCATCATACACAGAACGTGTCTTTAGGTGGATTGCGCTGCTGTCCTTTCAACTTTGCATAGCCAATCATTGAATTTATGAGAAAGTCAACAAGCCTGTTGTCAAGAAGTACTTTGAAGCACTGCAAAGTCGCAGACGTATGGTCCAGGTTTGCATTTATTCCAGCTACACATGGAAAAGCATGCCGAAAGTTATTTGAAATTTTGACTTCCTTATCCTTATCGATCACCTGCCACTGAAGCTGGCGGTTAGCAGTCTCTGGATCATCTACAGTGGGAACTAAGTGCTGTTGGTCATTTGAAGCAGCAGCACTGTGACTGGGTCTACAAAATTTCACCTTTCCTTTGGCTTTGCCCTTTCCTTTACCACTGTAGCTGGTAGTACTGACATAGGGAAGTAGGGCAGAAGCCCTAGGAACCTTGCGACGTGTAGATGTTTGAGAAGTAGAGGGCATGCAGGGGGTTGTGGATATTCTTTCAGTATCACTTACAGCGCTATTCCTGTCCGAATCTGAGAAATTGTCTGGAATGAAATCATTGTTCTCATGCACAGCAGAATCACTATAGAGGCTATCAACGTCTGTGTCAGGGCTTTGTTGGAACAAATCGAGTGCTTGTTTAGCAGTGAGACGCTGAGGTGGCCTACCTTCTTCAGCCATGATGATCTCCGTAACTAGCACAAACAAATTAGACACAGAAAATCAGCAGTACGGAAACAAACCATCAAATCTAGCATATGCGCTTCAACAAACGCTACAAAATGAAAGTACAAATAGAAATAGACCTATTTTCGGCATCTGCGACCATAATTCCGGTTGATGTCGTGAAATGTTACTTTTGAGTGTGTTTATAGAAGGCTAGTGTATCGAGCCCCTATGCCGGCCAAATCCATTTCGCGCAGAGCTGCTCCCACCGGCCCACCGGACATGAAGAGTTAAAGATTAAATCGGGAGATTGTACTAGTTTTATATCAGGGAAGAGTCAGAAAGCGTAATTAAATTACTTTATCAGTCGTCATTCAAGGTTGCACAATAGTAAAATATGACTGTGTAGAAGATGAGTTCACAGCATTTAGTAGAGGAACAAGAATCATAAAGTTTGATTTTTTATAGAACAAAACTTACACAACTTGTGCCCTGTGGAAAATAAAGTGCTAAAAGCTAAAAGGTCTGTAGCACATGACAGTTATCACAAAGCACTCAAAACTTACCTGTCCAAGAATCTTTTGGACAGGGACAAGTACTCAGAATCCATGTCAATCTGGGACCTCCAAAACAAAATGTGGTCCTCATTGTTTGATTCAAATCCAATAGAGATTTTTTCAGCTGAAAAGGAAAATAAAACATATTGATGTCAGTGCTAACACACTAATATCCTCTCTCACAAATACAATCCCCCATCTACAAAAAGCCCAATTCAACCCCAACACAACAAAATACTAAAACAACACAAAAAAGGAAAATCAACACCATACACTAAAACCTAAAAATAAAGTCCTTAGCAAGTCTGCACGAAAATTTTTAAAATACATTTTTAAAAAAATAATTGACATATGAAACAGTTGTACCCAGCTTACTTTCACAACAGCGTTTCATTTTCTTTCAGAAAGAAACTTAAACCCTTCCAATATGACATGTGGTGCACTCCCTGGTACATCAGAATGGGCGAAAATTAGGCACTTCCAGAGTGTACCAGGTATGCCAATATAGCATTGAAGGGGTCAACAGGGACATTTAGCTAGCGCTTTTTTCAGAATGCATTTTGTGAAAAAGATATATGATTAAAAATGATACAATGAAAACTAAATGGCATATCAAATATGAGCACTATTCTTTCCAGGCTAAAAAGAAACAGATATTTCCATTGCCTTCACGAAACCCCCTCCCAAACATACTAGAAGCAAAAAAAAAATACTGACTTCTTTTTTGTGTATTCAATTAACAAGTGAACAAGTGAAACTTTAGCAAAATTTATAGAACTGGAGACTCACATGCTGCGTTTTTCTGCTTTGATTTGAAACCTGGCACCAATGTTTCTGCAACAATGCTGGTAGGGAGCTGGGACAACATGACAGTTATGGAAGAGTTATGTTTTCTGTGCACCGACATGAAGTCTGTGAGGTCGCAGTCCGATATAAGATCACAGCTCACAACCAATGCCGTTGTCTTCTCATGACATGGACAAAGAAATAAAAAGACCTTGTTATGATTCATATTTAAGTATAGCAATGGATATGACAATTCAAAGTAAGGCAGGACAACTGCCTCAATTAAAATCCACTACTCAGACGAAAGTGAAGTCCGCCACAAAAAGAAGAAATAAGGCATGTTGCTTTGCGAACAGCTTAAAACCAATGGCGGAGGAGGGGGGGAGGGGGGAGGGAGGGATGGAGGGAGGGAGAGAGGGAGGGAGGGAGGGAGGGAGGGAGAGAGAGAGAGAGAGAGAGAGAGAGAGAGAGAGAGAGAGAGAGAGAGAGAGAGAGAGAGAGAGAGAAAGAGAGAGGAGAGACAGAGGAGAGAGGGGAGGAAGAGAGACACAACAACATGCAAGAGCATTCCAGTAGCTGTCATAGGTGTCAAACAAGAAACTAAACAACCAGCAACTCCACTGACAGCACTCACCTTCACTTTTGGAGCCACACGCCTCAGGGAATCTGCTGTGCCCAAGTCTTCTGAGTCCGGAATGCTAACTATCTCAAGCCTTGCCAAAATTGGCACAGACTTGTCGCTCAAGATGCTGTGCATTTGTTTTTCCCAGCTTTTCCTTGTAATAATCACAATATCTGTTTGGAAGACGACATACAGTTCTATTCAATTTGCAATAAGTACAATTTCATTAGCATTATGATGAAGTTGCATATATATCTCTGTAATATTCATTTCAAACATTTTATTGTATTCCAGAGTATTTTTTTAAAAGTTTAATTTACACTTTTAATTTATCTATAGAGAGTGGAGAATCATATCTAAGGTACTGTTAACTTATTATTTTATATACTGACTACAGTAGCTTCATTTGTGTAAAAATAGAAATTAATTTTCAATTTTGTCAGCCCAAAGCGCCCACTCTTTTCAATATCAGAATCACCATGGGATCTTTAGAGTGTAAAACTTTCATATTGGACCTCTGAAATTTTCGTCCTTATACCCAAAAAGGCTAGGAGCTTGTTCTGACCTATACTTGGATCAGGGAAAGTTGAAAATGTGAGAGAAAAAAAATTGACACTGATGGGGATTGAACTCTGGACTTTCGGGTTGACTGACAAACACCATACCCTTTGAGCTACTGAGCACCAGCATTTGCTCCCAAATTACTTTTGTCACTTCTGAAGAGACTATTTACTCAACTAAGTCTCTTGAAAGGTTACGAATAATGATTACTCATTAACAGCTTTATGATGTCTCATCAAATCACCACATTAAAAATCCAGACAATGAACACAAGACAATAAACTGTGGAAATATGCTTAGAAGTTATCAGTTATTATTAAATCATTATACAATGGGAATTATGGATTCTCACCTGAAAACCCTGCCTTCTCCAGAGAGCGTATAGGGTACCATATCATAGGAAATCGACCCACAGGTAGCAAGGCCTTTGGACACTGGTTGGTCAGATCAGTCATCCTCGATCCTGAGCCTGCAGCCATTATGATGGCACAGCAGTCTCCTGTATTAGCCATGGTTGATACAAGAGACTAAATCCTTTTCATAAATTTGAAGAGAGGACCCTGTTGTGGTCTGCAAAGGAACAAGAAAATAAAAATTACAAATACATGGGCGGATAATGCCAACATTGCAAAGACTGTACATCTACCAGATGGCCTTTACATAATTATTCCCCACCTTTATCTAGAAACTACCCTCCCTCCCCAATTACAAGGACTAGTGCCAAGAATAAGCCATTACATCCTTATAAATCTGTGCTGCCTTGATATACCACAAACCCTCTAGAAAAATTTTGTTTTTAAGAAAAAGGGTCCAGCAGACAGTTCGGCACATCCCGTGATTGATCATTCATACTAAAATGCGAAAAGACACGAAAAGACGCGATCTCTAGGCCTACACTTAGCCTTCTCGAACAAGGGCGAAAAATATCGGAGGTCCCGTGTGCAAGTTGCGCACGTTTAAGATCCCTTGGTGGTCCAAAATCGATAAGAGTAGGCTTTGGCCGCCACTCAAGCAAAACTCAAAATTTCCTTGCGAGCGCCACCTACAAAAAAAAAAGAAAAAAAAAAAAAATTCATGTGGAGAGAGTTGCATGGCAAAAATCCACAAGACGTGTTTAACAACATTAAGTTCCACTTGTCAGTGGAAGGAAAGTCCTATCACAGTAATTAATAATTTCATATTTTACTACTAATAATTGTAATGCCACAAAAAAGAAAATGTGTTCATCATGGCGGAACCTAAACAAACTTGTAGGGGCAGTAGATGAAGGATTACCCCAATTTTGATCAAAATAAACCTGAAAATGAGTTTGAAGTCAGAAGGGACACAAATCTGATGTCTTTTGGGGTCTTTTTCGTGTCTTTTTAAACTTTAGTATGAACCCCCCCATGATCTCTTCCTGTCCTGTCTCCATGAATTTATATTTTGCAACAGGTTTCGTGACGAGGACATGTTTCTTGTCATGCTGAGCACTGTAGCTGACAATTATCCCCTATAAATGTGCTACAAACGTAAGTGCCTCAATATGCAAAAGTAGTATAAACGTGTTATTGATGTTTGGGTCTAATAATGTGCTACAGTGTACTAATGTGTTATTGTTGCACATTGAGTCTAATAATTTATGCACCTAAAATGCACTTTCTAAAATGCTTCCCGTCCTGCCTTGCTCGTGACTTGCCTCAGGCTGGGTAGAGACCGGGATCACTTAGGGCAAAATGGCTTTGAATTGTGCCGGAGCCGAGTTTTTATTTTATGATGAATTTGAGGCCAGCCTGAAAAGTTAGGGCGCTTCTGATAAATGTTTATTTGTCAAGAGGTCATCACCCGGGGAGAGAATAGTGCAGGCGAGTCTTTTGGCTATTCTCACCCGGTGCGCGTTCACCGTTATAGCCTAGATCTAGGCCAACAAATTTTGTGTTCATCCTAAACCACAGAATTCTACACACTGTGATAACAGAAAAATTGTAGAATTCTGTGCCGTGAACAAACGTTCCATTACAACTGTAGCCTACTAAAAGCGTACAATTTTGTCTGTGGGCAGTGGAGAGAGAGAGAGAGAGAAAGAGAGAGAGAGAGGAGTAGCGCGAGAACTTCCAGTCAAAACAAAATGGCGACCCACGTAGTTCGGCTCGATTTGAAAAGTTAAATAGCCGTAGCATCTTTGTAGACAACCAAATTAATTTACTTTTGTGCTTTAACATAATTTCTTAACATTGTTTTGGTCAATTTGATCGTCCACACCGATAGACAGTATTCAGAAAGAGACAGAGAGAGAGAGAGAGAGAGAGAGAGAGGGGAGGAGTAGATCTTGCGAGAACTTCCGGGCAAAACAAAATGGCGACCCGCGTAGTTCGGCTCGATTCAAACAGTGAAATAGCCAGCATCTTTGAAGACGATCAAATTAGCTTACTTTTGTGCTAGATCTAGATCTAGTCTAGATCTATAACGTAATTTTTTCTTGGCTTTTATCAATTTGATCATCCACATCGATAGAAAGTATTCTGAAATTAGGAAAAACAGGTCTTGTTTCAAACCGGGTGAGAATAGCCTACGGTCGCAAGTCTCACCCGGGGTGAGAGGTCGATCGTATTTCTATTCTCACCCCGGATGAGAATAGCCACTTCCCTGCATAGACACTTCCATCTTTCGTGCCATGCGGTTGTCTATACTTAGATGTAGTAACGTGATCGGAAGGGTATCCTGGTCTGACGTCAAACAAGATGGGCGCCTTATCTAAAAATAGTTTGCGTCTTTCTACTTTTAATCATATGTGTACGGCTAGCCAACCAGTCTAGTCTTCCAATAATAAACAATTCATTCACTTCACTGACTTAAAAATTGAACAGGCATGCACTCCTTGCATGAAAAAAGACAATTTAAACTTAATAAATCTTTTCATGAAGATACTATTCTGCAGTTTTCATCGCGCATTTACAACAAATATATTGCTAAAGTACCTTGTTTATTTCAATATTGCAAGAATTTCAGTTTCATCATCCAGTTCCCCTTCCAGCAGTAACCATATTTCACTGTGCCGGAAAGTTTGTGATCACTTTCATAAATGAGTTCTCTTCAATAACCCGGAACTAACTCATTGTTGTTGCTGTCTGTCGTTTGTCACGTGACTGCGACCAAACATGGCGGGCTGCATTTTGTATCGCTTCCTGTATAATTGAACTCTCACAGACATAAGAGTGACTTTCCATCATCGAGAGTGCTTAGTGCTAAGCATCACTTTGACGTCTTAGTTCTGAGAATCTGTATTGGGAAATAAGTCTCACATCAAATTGGTGAGTTCAGCTCTAAAAATAGACTTATTAGCGATTTTAGAATCGAAAATGTAGTTCAAGATTCTAGATTAAGTCAGCTTGAATAGTTCCAAATGTAGATATCTAATTAATCTAGCCTAAGTCTAGATCTAGGAGTTCTAGGAACAGAGAATGAGAGAGAGACTTAAGACTAAGAGTATGAGTAAGACTGTCTTGATCTCTAGAGATCTACACACTCTACTCTAAATATCTTTACTTTTTATTAAATCTAGATCTAGATTCTAGATCTAGAATCTAGTCAGTCTGCTAGACTGATCTATAGCTAGCGGAGTGTTTGTTGATGAGCATCATTAATATGATGTGAGCCATGGCACTGTCTTGTAGTCTTGTAGGCTACTCCTGTTGATGACAATTCAAACGCTCATTTACTCACTCATTGTCTTTGAATTTGAATCAGATTAAGATTGTCAAGAAAGTCCTTGCCTTAGTCTTAGTGTAAATTTCACCAATTGCCACCACAGACGCCACAAGACAGTAGTAACAACACAGTATCATTTTGTTTTAAATTAGAGAACTGACAGTCAATGGCAAATGGTGAAGCAATTCAAAATCTGAATTTATTTGATTTGGCCTAGCCTTCTACAGGGCTGGCTCAATGGTTGTATAGGGGGCTTTTATTCATTTATTTTACTGTTAGAGGCCAGGCTAGAGGTCTCTACGTACTTGCCTCCTATGCCTCTTCCTTTCGGTTTTTGACTTTACTACTTTTAAACACGCAACTGTTTGAGTTTGGCCATGATTGATCCCCTCGCTGTCTTTCTCCAGGACCTGGCATAATTAATGGGAGTGTATACAGACCAGGTAGCCGGGAACAAAGTCACGAAGTATACTTGTGATTTCGGAAAGTTTCAGCGCCCTCTTGGCTCAGGGTAGACCTAGGTTCTTCTAGATCTATGGCCTAGGTCTAGATTTAGACAGACAGACCATAAATCATTGATCTTGTTTCGAGACTAGCCTAGATCTAGGTCATGTAAGATATCTAGACCAGATCTAAATGAAGATTGCGGATCGAATGTATTTTTGATGAACAATCGTTTTTCCTCTGTTTTGGAGTTGGAGGAATCACAATTTGCAGAAAAGAATGTACAATGAGTAACAATGTCATAATTTCAATCGAACAGTCACCCTCTCTATTTCTCTGCCTCTCGCTCTCTCGCTCTCTCTCCTCTGTGCATAGCTCGCATTCTCTTTTTCTTTGTTTGTCTCTTTCTTTCTCCTGACCTATTTCCCACTCTCTTTCTCTCGTTCTGTCCTGCCATCTGGGGGATATCATACGTTTTGCTAGCTCTTCCCCATCCCCCTGCTCTCTCTCTCTCTCTCTCTCTCTCTCTCTCTCTCTCTCTCTCTCTCTCTCTTTCTCTCTCTCTCTTTCTCTCTCTCTCTCTCTCTTTCTCTCTCTCTCTCTCTCTCTCTCTCTCTCTCTCTCTCTCTTTTTCTCTCTCTCTTTCTCACACACACACACACACACACTAGATCACCGGGTCTAGGCGCTGAAACTTTCTGAAATCACAAAAGAGTTCCCCTACCGGGTCTGTATACTTCGTGACTTTGTTCCCGGTTACCGGGTCTATACACTTCGATAATTAATGTCTCATATCTGCCTTGTTGGGTTGAGTGCTTGATTTTCACCTGTGTGAAAATGAGGCATGTAAATGCGTTTAGAGAGGGGTGTAAAAGAGTAAAGTGTGTTCAGGCTGCACTCATTTTTAGACCAATTTAAATGCACTCTCACACACTTTATTGTTGTTCAAAGTTATGAATAATGACAATTATTAAATTTTTACATGTACAGTAAATAAAACCAGTTTTTAATATTTGCTTTGAAATTTTATATCAAGAGCTGCCCTTTCTTCTTTTTCTGTTCTCTGCTTTTAAATTGAAATAATGACTTCTGAACCCAATGTGTAGCATTTTTGTGAGTGGAGGGTTGGAGAACACCACTTGTAAGTTTTCTTGCCTTTAAAATTTTGTTCTGTCCTTCATTTATTTGTATAGCGTGTATAGTCTGTTTCACTCTTTCCCTACAGTAAATGACTGTTACTTTGTCAGTGTACTTCTCCTTATAAAGTTACGGTACTCCTTCACAACTTTAGAAGCTAATGTTTGATCTTGAATTTGAACTGTATTGCAGTGTTGCACATCTCTCCCTCTCCTTCTTCAAAGTAGAATGACAAACACAGTCAAGCATTTAGGTGGTTGCTTATAGGTCCTTTTCCTTTCTGTCTGTTTTACCATTTCCCAGCACAAAATGGCCATAAATTGTGTCTGCTGTGTGTTAGAGCTTGCATTTACTCTGAGGATGGTTGGAGGGTGCCACAGGCTAGGCTTCTTCATTTCTTTTCTGTATTGTTTCTTTAATTATGTTCAAGTTGAACAAACAATCTCTCTCTCCTCTCTCTCTCTCTGCCCCCCTCCCCCCCTTTCCTTCTGTCTCCATCCTTACCGGCGTCTCTATTTGGCACTTGTGGTTGGAGGTTGCCACTTGTAGGTCCTTCTTTTAAATTTTCTCTCTCTGTTTTTTTTGTTGTCTATCAGTGTTTCTTTTCCTTGCACTGAGTGATCTCTAAACTTATCTCTTATCTCCTTTCACCTCCTTTCCTGCTCTCTTACCATGTTCTGTTGTCTGCTTTCATTTCCCAGCACAAAATGGCCATAAATTGTGTCTGCTGTGTGTTAGAGCTTGCATTTACTCTGAGGATGGTTGGAGGGTGCCACAGGCTAGGCTTCTTCATTTCTTTTCTGTATTGTTTCTTTAATTATGTTCAAGGTGAACAAACAATCTCTCTCTCCTCTCTCTCTCTCTGCCCCCCTCCCCCCCTTACCTTCTGTCTCCATTCTTACCGGCGTCTCTATTTGGCACTTGTGGTTGGAGGTTGCCACTTGTAGGTCCTTCTTTTAAATTTTCTCTCTCTGTTTTTTTTGGTGGTCTATCAGTGTTTCTTTTCCTTGCACTGAGTGATCTCTAAACTTATCTCTTATCTCCTTTCACCTCCTTTCCTGCTCTCTTACCATGTTCTGTTGTCTGCTTTCATTTCCAATTTCTGCCCCCCCCCCCTCCCACCACCACTTTTCATTACCACCTCTGGGCTCCTGACTCTTTCTGCAGCCTTTCTACTGCTACTCCTTGGCTCCTTCTTACTGCTGTCTTTCAGCCGTACCCTTGATCTTAGGGTAGGTAAGATCAAACACCTAGCCTTCTCGGATAAGGGCTAAAAAATCGTGGGGGTCCTGCATGCAAGTTGTGCATGTTAAAGATCCCTTAGTGGTCCTAAAATTGATAAAGAGTAGGCTTCGGTCACTACCCGGGCAAAGTTCAAAATTCGTACCAAACTGAAAATGTTTAATTGTGTTCCACGCGCTCATACCTTATATATATATATATGCAGTTGCGAGCACCGTAAAACACCTACAAAAAGGAATAAAAGGTATTAAGTGATGGTCATTGTGCAGATTCAATGTATTATTTATAATATCCCATTTAAAAAAACAACAAATCTCTTTTCTCTTATTATGAACTTCTCTATTAACTTTCTATTCTCACAAGCATTTGTGGTGAATTGGTCAAGGTTTTCGTTGAACCTTTGCACTTACAGGACGTGAGTTCAATTTCTGAATGTTTTTTCTTGGAGGGGAGGGGGGTTGGGGTTGGGTATCTCCGTTTATAAATCCCTCTCAACTCGGATTGCCTATGACAGGCAAGGTCAAAGCAGCTTGCCTTTCTTTATTCTTGATGATATAAATTGTGTCAATAATTGCTCTCTTACTGTATAATTAAATCACATGTCTGTATTAGTCATGGGTTACTGATGGGAACTCCTCTGGATCTGGAACACCTTCTTTTTTTGGCATTATTTTTTTCCCCCTGATATACAGTCGAACCTGCTTTAACGGAAACCGGTATAAAACGGAAACCTGTCTTAACGGAATTTTCCCGCTCCCCCTTGATTTTTTCCTCTTTAATTACCTGTATAAAACGGAAACCTGTCCAACGCGGAAATGGAAAGAAAAATCCACTCCCTTCCGAGGGTTTCACCTGTCTAAGACGGAAAATGCTTTACCAGCTCAGCACTGATTTAAAACAAAACTCGTAAGTTTGGTTCCGCCTGCTCTAAACTTAACACCACGGCCATACCGCTGGGCGCGGAAGGGGAGTAGGGGTGCAATTTGGGGGTAGATGTTACCCTATACCCAGCCTATACACCATCATGTGAACCCTGAGCTCTGCAGATGGTCAGGGTAGTGAGGGTGTGAAATCTCACGACTGCCTGTGAGAGTGCTCAAGTACCGAGCCACTACGGAAACTTTCTTGGGTAGCCGGAAGCCAGAGGTGGGAAATAGACTGACCAATGCCAGCCGAGAAAAACGCTCCTCGAATCGTTGTTACGTGATGGCAGTGAGGGGTGGCATTGGTTGACTGTGCTTGTTACACCGATGGGTGGGGCTAAGGGTGGAAGCAAAGGAGATGTTCAAACGTTTCTGTTTTTAATAGGTCAAACAGTGATCCTATGAAAGGCAAGCACTGGTGGTAATTGGATAAGTAAGACTGACGCATGTCATAGTTATGGAGAGTTGTGAAGTCTTGACCACTGCTTGCCGATCGGACAAGCGATCCTTGATCCCACCGGCTGGGTCTTTGAACTACCCCCCTCCCCCTCACCCTTTCCATCTCCCCCTAAATTCCCCTGTCTAAGACGGAAAATGTCTGAAACGGAATTTTTTTCTCGCTCCCTTGCGATTCCGTCTTACACAGGTTCGACTGTATATATTTATCCAAAATGTGACAATTGTCATGCCAACCCACTGTGAATACATCTCATCTCATCATTATATTCATTTAGGGTAAAAAGTGCATTGTTGCTTCACTTGTTCATACATTTCTTCTCTCTCTCTCTCTCTCTCTC